CCCCCGCGGGCGCGGGAGAGGAGGGGTGCGGGCGACGAGGGGGTGAGGGGGGACTCGTCCCCGAGCTAAAGCCCCCCGGAGGCCTCGGTCAGTCCAGGTCCCCGCCCGTCCCCGTCTTTCCGCCTTCTTGGGAGACTTTTCCCCGTTCCCACCCCTCTTCTCCCTTCGTCCCCCTCCCTCTCTCCTGCGCCCCCTTCTCTCACCCCTCTTATTCCCCCCACACACTTTCCTTGTTTCCTAGACTGCTCATCGACCCCCGTCCCCGTCTACTATCTGTCCCAACAGCAATCTGACGAGATCATTTCTAAGAAATTACTTTTATGTGTGTGTGTGTTTAAAATGAAAACACGGCGTGGTTATGTGTCCTGGTGGAGAGACGGGGCTGCCTTTTTATGAGGCCGTCCTTTCCTTCCTATTTTAATCCTCAGATGGGGGGGGCGAGGTGAACCCCTGGGCCTGTGTCTCCACCCCAGCGCAGGGCTGAAGTTTGTCCAAGGAAACCCCCCCTGCTCCTAGGACGCACGGAGAGGTGATACGGATGAGGACCTAACCCAATCATAAAGTGTGCCCCCCGACCCCAGGCTGTCCTTGGGAGCGGTCCCCCCGACTGATACCCGGTAGGGCGCAGGGCGGCCTCCCCTCTGGATCCTTTGGAGAGACCACGAATCGAACTAAAACCAACGAGAGACGCGGGCCGACCACGGATCTGGCCTTCCCGTGACCTCGGACACCGGGTCTGCGGAAACAATAACATTTCTCCACCTCCAGGCCGCTGTGCCCGGGACGGAGAAGGCCCGTTCGGGGCGGGCTGGGGTGGGGGTAGGTGAGAGACAGAGAGAGGGGGGCCGGATAGGGGTTCCTCGCGGTGGAAGCCCGGGGCTGAATATGAGCAACTTTGGGGTCGCCAATTTCGGAAGAAAAGTGGCCCTATGCGTTTTCTTGCTGTTTAACAGAAGAGGCAAAATGAGTGGGGTGTGGGAGGAGAACGAGGGGTGGGGGGAAGACGTAAGATCTGTGCGCACTGTGTGTGTGTGGAGGGGGGGGAAGCGATCGTTTTCTCGGCCTCCTCTTTTATGGCCTCTTATCCCCGGGCCCAGGCCGTCGGTTCCCGGGGAGCTAGGGGAGGAGGTGATTGGCGGCTCACTGGCCCGGCCATTGATGACTGCGGAGTTCTAATCTCCAGGAAACACAAGGGGTTGCTGTGGCCATTTAGGGGTAATTATCCGAGCGCGTAGGGACAGCGAATTCCCTCGCCTTTTAACAGGGCTCCATAAAAAAAGAAAAAAGAAAAAAAAGCTGTAGATTAGGGGCGACCAGATTAGGGAAAATGAATTACTGGAGCAGGAACTTTATTACCCCGGCCGGCGGCCGGCGGCCGGCGGCGGCCCAGGTCTGGAGGGAGGAGGGGTCGGGCTGAGATGGCAGCCCCACGTCTGCCCGCAGGCTCCCCGAGAAATCTAAGGCCTTGAGGGGGGGCGGGTTCGGTAATATTCGCCTCTGGGAACGTTACGCCGCCTCCCCGCTTTGCCTGCGGACTCGGGCCCTGCTGGAAGCTATGCTTTTGGGGTGTCCTCCCCTTCGCCCCCGAGGCGGGCCCCGTGCGCACCGAGAGAAGGCCAGGCTAGCCCATTTCAAAGCCCCGCGAGGCTGCAGGCCCAACGCCCCGCAGCCCCGGGGCCGCGGCCGGCTTCTCCCACCGGCCGTTCTAAGGGAACCCTCTCCAGGCTAACCACTCCACCGGCCAGGCTCGTTTCCCGCCCCCCCCCCCGCCCCGACCCTGGGCGTTGTGGTTGAAAGAGGAGAAGAAGGAGGCCGAGGGCCCCCGGGGCGCTTTTTCAGGCCCACATTTTAAGGGCGAGCTCCGTCGTTCTCGGCAGGGACGTTTCTCTGGTCCCATCCTGGGTGCTCAGACTCGGTGTTTCGGAGTCTCGGGTCATTTCAGCATTGGACGCAGCTAAGCGTGTTCTCTCAAAAAGGGCACGTCGGCCCCCCAAACCCAAACAGGCTGCGAGCGCGCCCGCAGGCCACCTTCCCCGACCGCCTTGGAACCCGCCAGTTACACAGTCCATGCTTTAGGGCCTGGGGAGGCTCGAACCGCAAGAGTGGAGCCGCGCCACGTCCCAAGGCGGCTCCCGCCGAACGCGTCCCGGAGCGCGGGCTGGGCCCGGCCGGGCCGGGGGCCGCGCGGCCGGGGAAAGGCCGCGTCGCTAATTGCGGGGATAAACAATCTGTCACGACCCCTCGGCGCGCCTCCTAGGCAGACGAGGATGTTGTTTTTAGGCGCCAGCGGCGGCCGGATCAAAGGCTGCCGCCGGCTCCCGGGCCCTTGAAGTCTCGCCCCGTGCCTCCCGGGAGCAAACCGCCCGCGCCCTGGGTCCTGCGCTCCGCAGCCGGCCCCGCGGCTTCCCCAGCCCGGTGCGCAGCCCCACGATGTGGGTTCAGGTTCGGTGTGTGTGTGTGTGTTCACTCCACCGCCGTCTCCGTCCCCGCGCGTCGGCCTCGTGGCAGGCCAAGAGAGAACGGTGGCCGCGCCAAAGCGGTCAGGCCGGTCCGTGGGCACAGCGCGCGCCGGGAGGGCGCACCGATCCGCCTCCCTCCCCGGGATCCCCAGGCTAAGGCGCCCCGAGAGACATAGAGAGAGCGAACCTCGGTCCCCGGGGTGCGCGGGACGCGCCCGCAGGCGGGAAGGCGCGCGGGGCGGCGTTCTTGGAGTTGGCTTTCACCCGGCCTCGGCCGGGAAACCGGTCGCTGGGTGGGTGGGTTCGGCCCCGGGGGCTGGCAGCGCAGGTTTATCTTGTCCACAGCGCAGACCCCGAGGCTTCGCCCCCACCCCTGCATTTATGTCTCCCCGAGGCCGGCTTGGAGCCGCGGAGAAAGCGGGCGGTAATTCATGCCGGGCCGGGGCAGTGCTGGCCCGCGGCTGATAAAGCTGGGGACTGGCGCTGCGCGGCGTCCGCCCGCCCTCCCCTCCCCCTCCCGCGCCCGAAAGCCTTCCCGCGGCCTCCACAAAGCGCCGGGACCCGCGTCCACTTCCCGGGGCGTCAGTGGGGGGACTCCCTCACCCCCACCCCAAAAAATCACATGAAACACCCACGATCGTTTTTAGGGGCGTGTGAGGCAGCGGCGGGGAGGAGATGGGTGATGGGATTGCTAGGGATTTTCCTCCGCGTGCAAAGATGAACTTTCGTTGGAGGAACCCCCATCTTGAAGGCTGCTGTCCCCCCCAGCAGTGCCCAGGGGCCGGCCTGCGCCTCTCCAGCGTTCGTGGTCGCCTCGGTGGGTTTTCGTTCCGTCCCCCCTCCCTCTCCCCCCACCCCCACCAAAGCGTTCCGTGGCCTCGGCCCAGGAATCTCGCATCCATTTTCTTAAAATGCGCGGCTCAGTGGGACCCCCGGCAATTAGCGAGCCCCGAACAGTCCTCTTTAATAGAATGAATGTGTAATGAAAACCGATTACCCGGAACGATTTATTTTGGTGGGAATTCACCAATCACCGGGAGGGCCTCGGAGGGTGGGGGTGGGGGGAGAGGTATTTTGCTCGGGGTGGGGGCGGGGTGGACGGGCAGACAACCCCTCGGGCCCGCGCCCCGCCAACCTGCCGCGCGCGCCGAACTCGTCGCCTATGGAGTCAGAGGCTGGGAACCAAGTTGGGTGGGGGGAAGTGGACGGGGAGGCCTCTAATCCCCCCCAGGGGTTCCGTGGCTTTCCAGCAATCAACAACACCCCAAGGAGGTCGGAACTCCAGGGGTTCACCCCGCGGGGCGCGAGCACAAGCACCCCTCCCCCCCCCCGCTGACCTGGGGCCTGGGCAGAAAGGATGTCGGTGGTGCCTTTCCCTAACGCATCTCCCAAGTTAAAAAACAAAAGTGAATTCTTCTTATATCACAGTGTGAGCCTCTGGCTAAGTCCGGCGCCGAGTACGGGGGCTGATCGCGCCCTGCGCCCGCCCCGCGCCCGCCCCGCGCCCTGCCCGAGGACCCCACCGCCAGTCGGTCCCGCGTCTCGGGCCCGTCCCGCCCTCCCGGTGTCTTTACATTTAGAGGTGGGGGGGAGGAGCGAAGGGGGGGGACAGGATCCGAGGAAGAGAGAAAGAGAGCCTCCCCCTCAAGTGGCCCAAATTAATGCGCTCGGGACACGAGGGTGCGCTTGCGGAAGATGAAAGCGAGGCCGGCCGGCTCCTCCCAGAGCTCTATAATTATAGATAATATATCCCATTTCAAAGCAATTAGACCAATCAGGCGTAACGAACCACTTTGCTGCCGACGAATAACAAAGGCGCACGGTTATTTAAGCCTGGA